AATAAATAAAATAAAGCGACTATGCTAGAAATGGGAGCACTTTTAACAGCAGACAGCCAAAGCCAATGTAAAAGTTGTGATTATTCACAAGAATTAGCTTAGTTAGTGACAAATGGGAAATTTTTAAGAGAGAATACTTTTGTTTATTAACAACAGTACCATTTCCCACTACACAAATGTGTGTGCTGTTCCCTCTGTCTCATACACAGTTCAGATATATAAGTTGGCCTTTGGATTTATTTTTATTTGACCAACCCAATGTACAGAAGGTTCAATCACTGCAAGATCCTGCTGTAAAAGCTAAGGCCACGTTACTGAAGCACAGGAGGAGAACCATTCTGGATCAGGGTGGCAAGGACTAGTATGTTTGGGCTCCAGAAGTCAATCTACTGTCACTCTTGAATTAGTTCTTTAAACTGATACTATGGCCAATCAATTTTAGATCCTTAGATGAATGTCATTCTAAGAACTGAAAAATTAATAAAAGGTGGAAGAAGAGGCTGCATTGTTTGCTTTACAGGGGCTGATTATACTTACCCCAAATGTTTACATTATAATTTTTCTCAGTTTTTCCAGCGATATTTGTTGCTTCACAAGTATAACGACCTGTGTCTTGAACCTGAGTGTCTTCAATCTGAAACCAAAATCATGCTTTAAAATGACAGGTACTGTTTCACACTCGGGGTTTCTCTAGTAAAGTTCTTCATGATCTCTTATTTTTATCTAAAGATTTTCTAATATATAAAAATACACAGAACTGTAAAATGAATTCTAATACACACATCACCCAGATTCTACACTTAGCAAGGTTTATCAACCTTTACCTATGTCATACCTTATTTTAATCTATTTTATAACTATGATTGAAAACCTGGGAAGGCCTTTTAAGCACAGCTTAGATAAAATGGGAAAAAAGTCATAATTTATGATAAAATCATTGAAGGCATTAAAATACATAATCCTACATATACAGGAAAATGTTCAGTAACATAATACCTGCTTTATTATATATGTCATTTTCCCCCACTGGGTTTGTAATCTTCAAGCCAAGAATTATATTCAATTAGCCTGAATCTCCTACTGCCCAGTTTGGGGGCTGGTGGGTGACTGGCTATGTATTAGTAAAAAAAAATTTCATGTGTACAATATGCATCAATATTCATTAGCCATCATCTATTTGTTAACCACACCATAGTTACTACAAATGTTTTAATAGGTACCAGAGGTAGAAAGTATAAAGAAATATAATGTAGCATACCATTTCTGATTTGAATGTACAATCTAGTTGAAAATATAAAGTATATGAACATGAAAGTTTTTATATAATAATACAAAATAATGCAAGATACATCATAAATATTGGATTTATTGCCAAATAAGTTTACAATAAAAAATTTTTAAAACATTCAAAAGAGGATAAATAATTAGAGTTGGAGTGATCACTGCAAGTATTTGGCAGGGGTACAGAGCGGCTATTCAATAAACTTATTGATCAATTGATGTGAACAACAGAATTAGAATTAGATGAAAAGCCAAAGACTGCTAGACCTTAAAGGGTATTAAAATTCAACCTTTTCAATTTTAAGATAAGGAAACAAGGAATCAAGTGCGAGATCTATATCACCTACAGGGGTATAATTTGTGGCAGACCTGCTCCAAAAGGTGGTTACAGGGCCTTAAAGCCAGGAAGCATGGGCCTGTATATAAGAAAGGTTGAAGGTAGGGAGGGTACAATAAATAGGAGTGATGGACATTTATTAAATGCCTAGTGAATGCCAAGCAGAATAAATGGTACAATTCTATTAGTTGATCTTGGTAAAGATGCATGGGAATGATGCTGGGTAAGGCATAGATTAGATAGTTTTTACTGCCCAATTAAGTTTGGCTCCATAGAAGTTCTCATTGCATGTCTACCTCTCTCACTGGGACCTGCATATTCCAGGATGCCTAGTCCAGCTCCATGGTAGAGAGCAATGAATATTTCTTCACCACCTGAAGAAATGAACTGCTATACTCACTGAGATTTGTGTTGAATTGTCTCCCTGTGTCATTCATTAGAGCAAAGGTTTGAGAATTCTACCAGATGCTTTCTAGAACACTGAGCTATACTTCTAAGTATGGATAGTTCTTACCATCGCCTTTTTTTCTTTTTTATATTTTGCCTATGTTGCTCAGTTGGCTTGTTCCTCTTTCATCAGTGATTCTGGTTTTCTGTTCCTCATCCAGCTCCATTATTATGGCTTCACAATTCCCAAGATCCCCATCATTTCCTTTGAACACATATTCACATTGCCCCAACTCATCCCAGGCATCTGTTCTCCATGGCCAAGCCGCTCAGTTCACTGCCCTTCCCGCATGCTGACACTCACCGTCCGTTTCTCAAGACTCCCTCTTTTTGCCAGTAATAATCTTCCTCAACCAAGAGGCTCTGTGCAGTTAGTAGTGCGAAGCTACATTCCTTATGTTCAAATCCAATTTCTACCTCTTACTAACTGGGCAGATTACTTAGCTATTCTTTTAATTTCTCAGTTAAATTTTTATGAAGATTTTGTAAACATTCAGTGGAGTATGAACATTTAGGCCTTTGGGCCTCCTGAATCCCAATTCCTTAGGCTGGCTCTCCATGTCAGCTCTATATCACTCAGATTAACCTCAATATTATTTCCAAATATTCACTTTGTAAATTCTGTTTCAGTCATCCTGGCTGACTTGTTTTCCTTAATAAGACTTTTGTCCTTATCTATGCTTGAAAAGCAAGGTAGTCTTCCAAGCATCTTCCACACAACCAGAATCTCCCTTTTTGCTTTCTTTCCCAAAAGGTTATTGTTTGTACCATCCACTTGGCAGTTAACTCATGTTTATTATAGCACTTACTGCACTTTTAAACTGAACTGCTAATTATACTTTTCATTTTATGTGAAATTGAAAACATCAAGCATATGAGATGTCATAATTTTTGCATCCTTTATCCAGATCATCTATAATGGTTATTTCCTGACTGACTGAATGACTAATGATGTGACACTCCTTAGAACATTTCTACAATCTTTTCCTGGAAGTATTTTTTAATGTCTTCTAGATACAAATATGTATCAATACTTAAATATTTAAATCTTATTAATAATAATACTAAAAAAATAACAACCTCGTTAAGAAAAGTGTTCATTAACAAAAGGATTCTGGGAATTTTACAAGATGAAATAAGGATCAAAATGTATAATAGATAATGTGAAATAGGAAGAAAAGGTCCAAAGGGGAAGGGGAAGTAGGTGGGATAGGGGAAAGGAAAGAAGGGAAAGGAATAAATATGAGAAAAGGGACAAATGGAAACAAAGTCTTTCTAAATAGGGAGGGGTGGAGATGTTGAAGGGAGGGCAGGGGAATGGGGAAAAAATAAGAACCAAGATATATTATGTAAAGGGGCAAATTTCCAATGATGAATGCCATCATATTGTATGCCTAAAATGTACCAATAAAATTAATGAATAAAAAAATGATGAAATTAGGACACTCGTAAAGGACAGGCAAGTTTAAAGGGATAACTATGAGCTTAGGAATAATACAAAAAGAAATTAATTCATAGCCTCACCTTTAACATACTTCCGTTTTCAGAGACACTGAGACCTGGTTTCTTCAGCAAAGGGTGGCCATCTTTTAACCAGGTCAGGGTAGGTGGGGGAACAGCATCACTTTGACATAGTAAGTCCACAGGTTGGCTAAGGAGCACAGAGATGTTCTGTTCTTCTCCCAAAATATTTGGTGGAACTATGTGAAAGATGAATTTTGCCTCAGAATAAAATAGATCAGCACAATACCTTTATTAATCATCAAGACATACACAGAGTAGCTTTTTAACTACAGATAAAGGATCATCCTATTATACCCTCTGTGCATCTTGGTTCAGAATCAAGTATTAATAAATGATTGATAAATATATTCTTGTTGAACATAAATAATTTTATCTTTTTATTTAAAAACCTTCAGGGCCGGGGATTTAGCTCAGTGGTTTTGCCGCCTGCTGCACAAGCGCAAGGACCCGAGTTCAATCCCCAGTACCAAAAAATAAAAATAAAAATAAATAAATAAATAAAAACCTTTATAACTCGAAATTCTTACCAAGTGTACACTTAAGAAATTTCTAGAACTAGATGTTACTGCTTAAGATTTTAAAAGTAATAAATCACTCATAAAATACTTTGGATATAACAACGAATTAAAAGAAAATATATTTTAATATTTATATTTTTGCAAAGAAATTTTATAGTCATGGAGGTAAAATTAAAAGTAACAGATTTGAAAGAGAACACAGAGGTTGTATAGTTCCATTTCATAATGCACTAAACATAAAACGGGGACAGATAACAGCTTATGAAGCATAACATGGCTAACTAATGGCAAAGCGAAGAGTATTCTGATGGGAGTCTCACGTTCTTTTTGTTTTCCATGGTGCCCTATCAACTTTCTATGGAATAAAGAGCTTGTCGAGTGACACAATAAACAGTGATAAGGTGCACAACATACAATTACTTAAAAGGAGAAAATGAGTTGAAATTTTAATAAAATTAAAGTTAGAATTCCCTGGCTATATGAATTTTTAGACACTGGTCTGTGTTTTTGGAGAACTTTAAAGAATCTCCTTCTCTTGGGTGTATGAAAGAGTAAACAACTATTTACATATAATAATTGAGAAAAGACAAACTGATGATGAAATTAAGACCATCCTAAAAGGGTCACTTTGAAAAACCACAAAGGGGAGTTTTCTTGCCATTTCTCATTAAATTTTTAGGCTTGTAGGAAAATTACTTTATTTGTAGTTTTCTGTTTTGTTTTGGTTTGGGTTCCAAAGAAAGGCTAACGAGCAATTAGATGACTCCTAGGGGGCTTTCCAAATGCTTCAGTAAAAATGAGATTTTTGTGGAAAGAATATTACTGTCTATTAACCTTTGTTCCAGGCCCCATACCCTGGCACATGGTAAGATGACAATGAACACAGCGGACTTTAACTAGTAGCATGGTGTTTCTGTAATCATGAGTTTTCTCTGCTACTGTTACGGTTTAGATCAGGAATCTCCCTCAAAAACCTGATGTGCTCACAGGCAGGCTTGTGGAAGATGCCTGGATGTTGGGGTATCGGTGGAATCATCCACTGGGTGAGTGCAGCAGCCAAGTGCACTGCTAGAAGGTGGGGCCTAGGCAGAAGAGGAGGAGGAGGATCACTAGGGGAGACTTTCTCTCCCTCTCTAGTTCCTCCCTTCTCTTGCCTCCTGGCTGCCATGATGTGAGGAGCTTTTCTCTGCTGTGCCCCTGGCCATGCCACCTCTGCCTTGGGGCCAACTATGGACTAACTGCGAACCAAAATAAACCTCCTTTAAATTGTGGATATCGGCTATTTCATTCCAGAAGTGAGAAAGAGACTTAGCTACCATGTGTGCTTCAGAAGGAATGGGAGGTGAATCAAAAGGGCACATCTATGTGATATTTCTGGGTGCAGGACTTATGCCAAACCCTGAGGATGTATGCTAAAGGAAAAAGAAAACCCGGCACAATGGCTGGAATATACCAGTGAAGCATTTGTGCAGAGATTCATGATGTTCCTTCTGCTAAATTTAATTGTACACCCAGTCATTTGGCTCTCTATAAGATCAACGAAATCTGTGGGGAACAAAAGAGAGTGAGTTTTTTTATATGAGACACACTAGATGAAAGATATGAGACTAGTCTGTTCATGACTAAGATCGCTATAAAATAGCAAAATAAGCACAATTAAAGCCACTTCATAAGATACCATGAAAAACATGTATTTTTACAGGCTTCATCACAGGAAGACCGAAGTGGAATGGCCAATTTTATACCTTTCATATATGGGGTAAAGTTTGTTCTTATTGGATAAAAAGTACCATAACTGTTTAAAAATGTGTTTATTTGTAGACTTTACAAAAGCACATGATTTCTTTATGACTGTTTGCAGAAGTGAAAGCCAGAAACAATCCAAGACTGCAGAATGCTATTTCTAAATATTTCCTTTTAATTACTTTTCTTTGCAGTTAAATGAGTTGAACCAAATTCAAAAGGAAATCAGAATTTTAAAACTGAGAGAAAAAAAGCAAAAATAATGAAGCATTTATGAAACATATATTAAAGTAAATCTAATTATAGCTAAGAATATATATTACTGAAGCACATTTTTTTTCTGTCCTGTCTCTCATTTCAAATTTTTGTTTAGTCTGAGAAGAGAATAAGGTTCTACTCTTTACATCCTCACTTCCTTAGGTGTTATCCCTATTTTGTTTTGTGGCTATGCAGTTTAGGAGAGGGTGTACCCTGGAATTATTTCTTATTGTACACATTATACCTGTAAGTTTAATTACAAAAACCAAAATATCTATAGGGTTTTATTTGCTGAGACGAAGAGTGAGAGATTTCTAAGAAAATTCTCTGGGCTTATGTTGAAAGAAAATATACCATAGGAATACATGTTTTAGCATCTCATAAAATGATACAACATACTCCAAATTTATTACAAGGAGAAAAATTTTAAAGAAACTACTATTATAATTATAGGGAAAGCTATTTTACCCACTGTGTACTCTTCATACCACCTCCACACTCTGCAATGTAAATATGAAGTAGACATATCCCTCGGGGTCAACATTCACGAGGGTCCAAGCAGACACAAGTTTATAGAAGACACTAATATTCAAATATAATGAATGGAAAGAATGAACGGAACATAGGTTGGAAATTGATTTCAGATTAGTGAAATGTTTTAGTTTTCACTTTTTCAGTAGTTTGCTGAATATACATTTCAAGTGATAACTACGTATGTACATTCTCAGATATACACATATATCTATTAGTTACTTAATTTTTATGCTAGATGAAAGATACTAATTTTCAGTCTGCAAATGGAGGGTGCAAGTATATTAGCAACTGATAAAGTACAGTGATGCATATTTCCACGATTCCTCAAAAATATCAGCTCTCTATTATCTCCTAGGCCTATTCTTGACATTAGCCAGTAGAAAATGGAAATAGTCAAATACAGAATTTGACAGCTGACTAAAACTCGGCCAGTGCTTTTGTCACCTCTGTTTGCCTGCGAATGACTGAAGGAGCCATGGTGCTCCATGCTTATGTTGATAATTTTTCTCTTACGATGTTTTAAAATTGCAGTCTTTCAGTTCTTCAGCAAGCACAATAGTTACCCAATTCAGTGACAGAAGTAGGATCCCTAGAATTGGACATTATGAGATACACCAGCAGATCTGGGGGTTGGATGTGGACCTAGTTCATTGCAGTAGCAGTAATAAGAAGAGCATAGAGAGCCCTTTGGAAGTATACTGATGCTAACCGGGACTTTTTATGGTAACTAGGGAACAAAGGGCCTTTCTACTAAAATTTTATGTGACAATATACTGCAAGCTATTTGTGATTACTATACTTGCTTTTGCCAAATTTATATAGAGAAGTCAACATAGGTCACATGGTCTGAAGGTTAAAATATTAATATATTTATAATACAAGTGAGTTATTTAGAAGTCAGGTGAGACTTAAAGAAGGCCTTATGGGCAGATACTTTACAAAAGTCCATGGAAGCAATTTTATGATTCCATGAGCCAAGGAATATAATGCAAATAAAATAGTGAATAACATAATTTCTAAATGTAAAGGTACGTGAATGACATGCATAATCTATTAATGGAGGCAATGAGGCCCCAACTTCATCTGGGGAATTTTTGCTGTGATGGAAGCAGCCACTCCCTTCTCTACCATAGTGGTAGGGAAAAAAACTTGATTTTTGGTTCAATTTACACCCAGTTTAACTTTTGCTTCTCAAATAGCATTATAGACATAGTACTGATCACGAAATATACTGACTGTAAATATATTAAAAGTAATAAAATCGTGGCTTTGAGAAAAATAAATGAAGAAAGGAACTCGGACAGATATTTGCGTTAGTGAGATGTCTTCTAAATTGCAGAGCTGATATCATCCAGAGTCATGTTCTTCAGAGTGCACTGTAAAACCAACATCCAAATACATTTTAATATCTCAGAACTTAAAAAAAAGGGCAAGCCAAAGTCAAATATAAAGTAGTAAGGAAATGTGAATTTGACCTGGTGATGTTATTCCTTTGTTCACTGTACCTTTTTTTATTCTTCTTTTGTAGCACTGGGAATAGATTCCAGGGCCTTTGCACTCAACTGCATCCCTAGCTCTTTTTATTTTTTATTTTGTGACAAGGACTTGCTAAGTTGTTTGGTCGCCTAGGTTATGTTCAAACCTGAAATCCTTCTGCCTCAGGCTCCCAGATTGCTGGGATTATGAGCATGAAACATGATGCCTGGCTTCACTACTCTTTTTGTCAATAAATTCTCTTTAGAGATCTTAGGACCCAAACACATCTATTATCCAAGGAGAAATAATTACAACTCATCTCACCGTACACTCTGAGGTCAATGTCCCTTTGTTTCTCCCCAGCAGCATTCACTGCCACGCAGGTGTATCTCCCACTGTCAATTATTTGTGCACTGGTCAGTGCTAAGATTCGACCCCCAGAGAGAACCTGTTAACAAAAAGAAAGCTAAATAACCAACACACCCCATAAAATGGTAAATATCCTTTCCTCTAATTTTATAAGGCTTACCAGTTGGCAGGTAGCTCTAAGGGGATTTTCACTTGGATATTTTGAAGTGTGTAACCATCATATAAACCCCTTATCTTCTCAGTGGAAGAAAGTGAGAGGTTAAATAGAACAATAGTTGCTAATGACCACTGAAAGCAAGTTTCTATATACAGCATCAAATTTCATCCATACTCACACAGAGAGAGAGAAAGTCATGTTACAGGCACAAACAGGAGAAGCAGAAATAAGAGGAACTAATTCTAGTTTTTCTTCGGGTGAACAGATAAGAAGTTATAATCAACAGTAAAGTGGTAGCTAAGTAAATTAATTAGTCACACTCCTTGTTCTTTTCTCCTATAAATACAGTGGTTAATCTATGTGTTGATTTTAACCCTTGATCTTCTATGATCCCAAATTCTGAAAGATTAGATTTTCAAAAAATGCTGAGGAAACAGAATTGTAGGAGAACTATGTTCTCTATTAGGCAAAATAAAAGTAGACTTCAAATTAGACACAGGCATATCTCCAAGATATTTTGATTTGCTTCTAGACCACTGCAATAAAGCAAATATCATAATAAAGCAAGTCATACAAATATTTTTTGTTCCCCAGTGTATATAAAAGTTATGTTTACACTATCCTGTGGTCCATAAAGTGTGCAATAGCATTAAGTCTAAACATCATTGTGTATATCTTAATTAAAAATACTTTATTGCCAAAAAAGCCAATAATCATTGGAACTATTGGAACAACAATGTTGATCAACTTTCTCAGTGCAGGGTTGGCACAAACCTTCACTTGTGAAAAATGTAATATCTGCAAAGTACAACAAAGTGAATCACAATAAAATAAGGAATACCTGTAGAGCTGCTTCTGTATTTTTAACTTTGAGTCAATGTAATGCATTATATTTTTTGTAAAAGTCAAATTTCATTCCACATGATGTTTTCATTATAACTTTTCTAACTTTATTCTTTGATGTTTTTATAGAAGTATTTAAGTTCAATGTATTTTTAGGATTCATTATAATTTCCAGACATTGAAATATATTAATTCTACCCCAAAATTTCTATTTCTGTTGTTGAAAAACACTTCTTGTGGTATGAGTAGGAAGTGGGGGAAGTTAGAAAAGAATGTGTATCTAAAGCAAATAGAAAAAATGTAAATATGTATGAGGTGAGGGACCTGTTAGAATTACTGAGTTTTAAGTGAACTGTTTAGACATCTCAATTGGGTGTGCCCATGTATTTATGGGTGCACATGTGTTTTTAAAAAATAATGTTTGTTAATATTGTTCTCCAAATCTTTTCAACAGATTTATCTATTTGTATTTCCCATCGTGAATAGTGGTGCTAGATTTCACCACAGAAATGGGGATACCTGGATTCCATTAGCGAAACTAGAGACAGGACTCCCGTCTTTCAACCAAGTCAGACTTGGGGCAGGGATACCTCTGGCTTCACATTCTAACCTCACTGGATTATTAACCACTACTGTTACCATGTTATTGCTGCCAGAAATCGATGGGGGCACTGAAAAAAAATAAATAAAAGTATGTTAACATCACAGTATATGTAATCTCAGAATAATGAAAACTATATGCAATATCCAGAATAATTTGTGTTTATGGGTGGATTTTGTATTTTGGCTTTTTTGTTCTTGGTACGTTCTTTCACATCTCTTATTCAAAATCTAATCCCAGCCATCCTATGAAGTGGAGCAAGTATCAGTATATTCATCTTACAGATGAGGAGATAGAATTTTCACTAAAGAATTTTTTAAATGTCAGAATGTATTTTTATTTGTTTCTAGATACGTGTGTATGTACATTGTGTATTCTCCCTTCCACTGCACACGCTGCAATATTTAACTACCAATTCTTTTTAAATTTTTTTCTTCAGAGATAGTAATTTAGAAACATTTGTTTAACTAATATCCATGATTCTATTAGAATGAATTCACAAGCAAGGTTATTGTCCTTAATTGAAAAGAATACCAATGACTATTTCAACAACTCATCTAAGGCAAACATGTGCAACAGCATGTGAAAATTCACCATTTTCATAAGAATCAGGCATAACAATGTTCATCAGTTTTAGAACACAGGGCCCTTAATTAAAGATGACAAAAATACACTCTATTAAATATCTGCACTAGAGCTTTATAAAAGCAGTTAATCATTTTGCAAGCTTCTTTAACCCATAATCAATCTAGGCAAGGTAGCACTTACCATGAACCTGTAGACTGTAAAATAAATCCGTGGCACCAGCAGAATTGATGGCCACACATTTATAGATGCCAGCATCTGAGATCTGGGCACTTTTAATATCAATGATCTGTCCTCTGTTCAAGAAAGTTACGCTAGTGGAACTTGACAGTGGATGGCTATCTTTGTACCATGAAATAACTGAGAGGGGAGGGAAGAGAGAAGCTATGTAAAATTTTCTTTGAAAATTTAATGTATCAAGTTGGATCTTACCTAAAATAGTTACAATTTAAAAAATAGTAACAATTGCTTTCTTCTTATGCTTACTGAGTTTAATCTACTTACATCAACATCTCCTTAGGGTTGATTTTTAAGAGAAGGTAATCTTAAGAAAAACACCAACACTTGAGTTAATATGAGTTTTGAAAATGAATTAAGCATAAAATAATCTTTATATTGTCTCTAATACGTCAATATTGTTTGATGGTAAATTTCCAATCTATTCTATTCCTTTTATATTTGTATTTCCTATACAAATTTTGTTCACACATCTACTCAAAACCGTATGTCAATCTGGGTGTGGAGGCACACACCTAGTCCCATCTCATCTGAAGGCTAAAGCAGAACGATCACAAGTTCAAAGTCAGCTTGGGAAGCTTGGGGAGACCTTGTCTCAAAGTAAAATTTAAATAAAAGAGCAGAAGATTTATCTCAGTGGTAGAGCACTTACCTAGCATGTGGGCAAGACCTTGGGTCCGATACCTAGCACAGAAACACACACGCATACACAAACACACACACACACAAGCACACACACCAGTACACTACACTATAGGCACCAAAAAATTTGTATTACTGATTCATATGACTAGTCTACCAGTGATGGGAATATACAAACAAAGTGGTAGTCTCATTAGAACAACTGTGAGGTAGCATCAATTTGGTCAAGTTTCATTAAAATAATTTTTAAAATTTAAAAAATATTTTCAATGTAAAGATATGCAAAATACAATTGTGCTTTTTGTGGCCACAATACAGACAAAACCACTAATTTATCCATATGATTCTACATTCAGTGGACAAATATGTTCATGTACCAAAAAGCAATGAAAATTTAAGAATATCTTCTAGTGATATCAATGCTTTATCCTTGAAATGTCTTTCACTTTCATTAGTAATTAGTCAATTATGCTCACAATTTCATTTATTCCCAGAAATCTTAAAATATTGATAAATTACAGATTGTAAAAGTAAACACACCAGGCAAAGGATTTCCTGCTGCCTTACACTCCAGCTGAATGGGGTTGTTCATGACCACTGTCTCGTTCAGCATCCTCCCTGCAGCTTCCAGGCTGGGTGGTTCTGCAAGAGGCCCAGACAGATAATTAATTACCTAACATGAGCAGGATACTTAGACTGAAATTGTTTGATCAGTGGAATTTATTATTTTTCTTTCCTTCCTTCCCTTCTTCCTTTCTCATATTTTATGTACACATGGATATATCTGGAATAAAAGTAAGTAATACTATGAGGTAGAGCTGAAGAAAAGGAGGAAAAAATGTTAATAGGTTTTCTGGATCATCCATTTCTTTTTGACAAGACAGGAAAAATCCTTAAGATTGGGACTAATAGTGTAAATAAAGTTAAAACAGTATTTTTAAAAAGTCTAATTAATCTGATAGTTCTGGTGATTAATTACCCTTACCAATAAATGATTTACTGCATTTGATCTCTTCCAGTGAGAAAACAATTGATATGTCTGTCTCAAAATACCTTACTTTATATTGGACAATACTTTCTTAAATTATTTCAGAAAAATTAGAATTTTTATCTTTTTTTTTTTTTGGTATTGGGGATCGAACTATGGTCCTTGAGCTTGTGCAGCAGGCGGCGAAACCACTGAGCTAAATCCCTGGCCCAGAATTTTTATCTTTATGGACAGTTTCTTTCTTGCAATATAAAATTAGCAGTAAAATAGTTCTAATCTTAAAAAATTACTAATAATTCTGTTTTATTATTTAATGTACTTGGATTATAGGAATTTGTAAAGTCTAAGAGACATATGTAAAATGAATAACAGCCTAGAACATAAATATTTTCAACAATATTCCAATGAGTATGGGAAGGATAACAAGATCAAAATTTTTCAAGTAAACTAAATAAAAATTTTGTCTTATTTGGACATGATTCTATAGATATAAATTAGCATATGAAGTCTGCAAAAATATTTAAGGATTTGTTAAATTTAACTCATTTGGTGAACTTGAGTGTCTCATCCACATATTATGAATTAATGAATTTATTAATCTACAAAAATATAAAAGAAGAAAATAAGGAAAGAAAACAAACAAGAAAATGATCAGAACTAAATATGATGTCAAAAATAAAATCAAACATAAATCAAAAGCATACATGTGAATAAATCTATTTTTTGTTTAATAGAATTTTGATTTTTAAGAAATAGACTTTTAAAAGACTTTAAAAATACTTTTATGTGTTAGCAGTATTTTTTAAATTAAAATCTAAGTAGATAAATGTACACACACACACATACACAAACCCTCACAAAAATGTTAGTAAGAGCTAGACAAAGATATCCCTAGACAGCAATGTGATGTTGCTTTCTGATAGGCTAGTATACAACCCAAAAATCATTGAACATGACAAAGCAATATGCTGTATTTTGGTTAACATGTAAAATCTCATGAATAAACCTTTACAATGACAATGCTCTATGCATTGAATAACAAAGCAAATATTGTTACAAAGTTAGGAAATTTTGTTCAATATGCCTTCCTTAGAAATCAATTGTATAGTGAAACAAATAATAAAGTTGTAAAGGATTTGAAAAATAAAATTACTCCTTCAGATTTTGTGCCTATGTTCTGTGTGTATATACTTGTCATTATTAAAATATATATATTCTTTTCAAATACCAATGGGATGTTTTCAAAATAGGATATTAGACCAAAAGTATCAATAAAGTATTTTATAACCACAGTTAATAAACTATAGCAAAAAGAACAGAAACCAAAAACATAAAGCTACCTAAAGGTATAAAATATCACAAAGGTGAAATCAACACAAAACTACAGCGTTGGAAAATTAGGGTGAAATTGATTAATAGTAGAACTTATGGGATTTCACTAAAGTAGCACTGAAAAGCAATCTTAAATGCTAATTAATATATTTTAAAAACTAATAATGAAAATGTCCTAAGCCTTCAACCCAGTATCTAGAAAACTACAAATACAATAAACAAAAGAGGCTAAGAGAAAAGAAATAATAAAAATAAAAACAGAAAATAACACCAAAAAAAATAAATTAAACCAAAAAAGGTAACAAAATTCAAAGGTATTTTAATGACAAATTTAAAATAAAGTCTGTCCTCAAAGGCAAACGCCCTTGTTGGTCAGATCCATTACTGTGGAGCTTATTTCCAAAGACTCATTCTACAAACCACTTATCCTTCATTCCCTCAGTTTCTTTTGTATTTACCTAATTCCACGTGTTATCCCTTCCTCTTAAGTGCCTAACGTGGGTCTGTTTGGTACCCTAAATTCTCATTATCCATACCATCATTAAGGAAAAATTAATTTTTAAATATTTTTCCAAATGCAAAAGGAAAAATAACCAGTCTACGGCATATTCCTTCAGAACCTTTAAATACTTGGTTGAAGCCATCTGGACTGAAGCGCTCATTGAAGGCTTTGACAGACGTAGCTACTGCAGTAAAACATTTTGGTGGGAATAACACAAGAGGTGGGAAGCGGGTTGGTTATTTCTTACTTCATTAGAGAACTTCAAGGCAAAAAAGATTGAATTTCAGAAAGAATGGCAGAGTAAGTGCTTGGAAAATTCACTCCTCCATGAAAGAAACAGAATCACTGGAAAATTGTTAAAATCAAATTTTTCAAAGCTCTGGAAATTAACCAAACCCTTGTAACAATCCAAGATGTGTTTATTTAAGGGGGAAACCCCCAGCTCACCCTCATTAAGAATGCTGGCATTTTAACTCACCCTATTTCCATCACATCTCCCTGGTCTCCTCAAAAGTGAAAACAAATAGCTCCATACTCACAGTGAACAAAAGCAGTCTAACAGGTACTGGATAGAATAGAATAGGTTTGCAATTGCTGAAAAGCATCATTCTGAGAGAACTGTCATTTGATTTATCTGACCCTACTGCAAAATCCCCATTCGCAGGATTTGTCTTTATTTAATGTGACTCAGAATTCCCTCAGGGCAAATCAACTTTTTTTCCAGGCGTGCTTTAAAGTCTGCAAAAACAGACTATAGAATTTGTTCAGAAAGTCACTATATTGATTTCTGTTGTTTCTATAATGAAAAACCTCAAAAAGATGGTACAACACAAACACAAATTTATCTTACAGTTTTCTAGGTCAGCAGTCCCTCACTGGGTTAAAACCAAGATGTCAGCAGATTTGGATTTCTTTCTGGAAGCTCAAGAAGACCATCTGTTTCCTTGCCCTTTCCAATTTCAAGAAGCCATTTCCTTGGCTTGTGGCCCCTTTCTCCATCTTCAAAGCCAGTTGGAGTGGGGGTGAAAGAGGTCTATCACTTTGATACTCTGACTTTCTCTTCTACTTTTAATAACCCTTGTGATTACACTGGGTCATTCTAGATTTTCAGGGATAATCTCTTGTTTAAGGTCAGCTAATTATAACCTTAATTCCATTTGCAACCTAAATTCCTTTTAAAAAGTAACCTAATATATTAGCAAGTCCCCAACTTATGAACATTTGAGTTGCAAACTTTCACAGGTATAAATGAACCTCACATTAGGAACATTTGTAGATGTGAACAAATTGTGGAAGTAGCTCATGTGTCTACCAGACACTGTCACAGTTGTGCTGTTGTGTGCTTACTTTACAGTGCGATATTGTACAGTAGTACAGTGTTCTATCAGAGTCCAGGATGTCTGGAATGAAGAGGAAAAGCAGTGGTGATTTGGAAGGGACTGCTAGGAAGTGCAAAGCAATAACCATGGAAACAAAAATGAAAACACAGTAACTATAAAGGTAAAAATAGATTATTTACAGTATTTGTGTTTGATTTTTTATGCTTTAGCTTCTATATTTGTGTCAAAGGTGTATAAAACTCACTTTGTTGGACTTATAAATGAATTCAATTTATAAACTTTCTCCTGGAACAGAGCTTGTCAGTAAGTCAGGTACTTAACTATGTTTTTCCTACTCACTTAAGCAACAACAAAAACCAGAAGCAACAATAACAGTAAAAACTATGAGAGGAGGAGATGATTTCCAGAGTTGCCACATTTATTATATAAAATGTCTATTTTTTAACAAAATATCAGATATGTAAAGAAACAAGAGAGTATGGTCCATACAGAGAAAAAACAGCATAAAAATATCCATAAGAAAGCCTTATTTATAACCTTTTACCAGTTATTTTAAATATGTTCCAACCATGTCCATATTGAGCTCACGTACTAGACAAAGACTTTAAATCACCTATTTTAAATATATACTCTAGGAATTACAGAAATCATTTCTAAAAACCTCAGTGGAAGTAGAACAATAACACCTCTCTGTGTAGAGAATTAATCACAAGATAATTAAAAAGCAAACAGAAATTCTGAAATTCAAAAGTCTGCAATAGTAAATTCAAGTTGGGAAAACACAAAATCATTGAATTTGAAGGCATCCAATTTTAGAAGAAAAAATAATTTTAAAAAGGCAACAACAGATCCTCTGAGACTTGTAGGGTACCATCACGTGGAGCAGTGTGGAGAAGAGAAGGAAGAAAGGGTACAGAAAGAATATTTAAATACATCCTGGTTGAAACCTTCCCAAATTGCAACAAAAACATTCATCTATACACTTAAGAAGCTTAACAGACTGCGCATTGGAACAACTCAAAGAAATCCATACCAAGACATCAGAATCTCCTCCCCTTAATCCAGCAACAGAGAGATGACTTATCATGCAAAAAACAAAAATCCTCAATAAGGATCATATCAAAAAATAATGTAGTCATGAAGACAGTGGGATGACGTTTGAAATGCAGGATGAACATGACTATCATCTTAGAGTTCTCTAAGAATCTCAGAATTTTCTAAAATTCATAGAATCCAGCAAATCTAGCCTTCAAAAATAAAGAAATTAAGACATTCCTAGAAAAACAAAAACCTGACAGAATTCATTGCTAGTCATATGCTCTACAAGAAATACTGAAGGGAGTCTTGAAGGCTGAAATGAAACAAGAACCAACGCATATATATGATAAAATAAAAAGGCAACTACATAAATAAATAAAAGTTGGCAAAAATGTATTTTCTTTTTTCCAATTACTGATTGAAAAGACCATAGCATAAGACA